CTCTCTCTCTCTCTCTCTCTCTCTCTCTCTCTCTCTCTCTCTCTCTCTCTCTCTCTCTCTCTCTCTCTCTCTCTCTCTCTGGTCATACTTCATCCTAGCAGGTTCTGTCGCCCTGAGGAAGGCCTCTGAGTCTGGTGATGACTGACAGCAAGAATGCACTGTTCTTCTTTGCTTTCCATATGCACTCTACTGTCGCATATTCTGGACAGCCGCCTCCATGTAATCTCTGGTACATACAGTAGGAGTTCCCTTCTGTAAGTTTCAGTGAGTCTGAGTGCTTGTGCCCCCTTTAGGAAGAAGGTGATAGTGCCTCTGTTGAGGTCAACTTAAAGGACCACTGAAGTGCCTTGAAACGCGCAGCGTTATTCAATGTGTTGATGTAATTTCAACTGAAACAGGAAGACAGGGTGGAACATATCGAGCAGCTCCTTCCCTTTTTTTAAATGGCCAATAGCGTTTCGCTTATCACAGCTCAGCCAGAGCCGTTGAGCTCGGCAAAGCTGCATTTGACAGCTTATGACAACCACAGTGTAATAGATTCCCCTTTTAGATGTAATAATGAAACTGTTACTAAAGCAAAACAGTGAACATAATCATGCTTAGGATGTGTAGTTTGAAAAGTGTGTAGTTTATGTAAGTGCATGACATTGGTGTTATCTTTTCTACTTGTCAGTGCTGTTTATAATGCCAAATCTGTCTAACCGTTTATCCTTCTAATCTACTCCTTATGTCTTTAAAATATAGAAGTATGTGTAGAATTCAAATGGGTTAGAGTCCGATACGCTCTGTGGTCTGCGCTGACTCTCACATATGATCCACTCTGTGCTATCGGGTCTCTGGACCGGAGGTGGTTCATTCGTCCCAATGGAAAGCATATTTACAGTCTGAATCATTCCCTTTCCCCTATTTAGTGCATTATGTGCCATTCACAGTTGATGTGATTGTGTGAACAAGTGACCGATTTCAGCCCCAGCTTTAGCGTCTATTTATCGTGTAGGGAGCTGGATGCTTCAGATACTAGAGAGCATTTGATTGGACAGAAAATCTGATGAGAAGTTCAAGTGCAGAGTGATGTCATCAAAATCGTTGATCCATATTGGCAGAAGTGAGAGACAAAGTTTTGAATGCTTATATCTTCTTAATATGGACCTTGACATTTTTTTGGAACACACTAGCTTATAGATTCGTAATAAAAGGCAAAAAATGTCAATTTTTATTTCATGGGGACTTTAAGATGTAGTGTAATAATAATGATTATAATTATTTTACACCTACTGTTTATTTCCTCTCTAACTGTACAGAACCTCAGCAGTAGAGAGAATTACTCACTGTAATTAGTTTTAAAAATAGACACCTTTTATTATTTAAGAGGTATCGTTAAACATTAGATTAACCCTAGTACTAACATATATGAAACTGTGGGTTGCAAACCGTACGGTTCTTGTTTTATGGGAACCGTTTCAACCCTGACTGATTTCTCACCTAAGCTGTCTGTTGTTGGCAGGGGTTCCTCATTCCTTTTATCTGTATTTTTTTGTCCTCTCCTCCCTGTTATGTCTGGAGGTGTGATTTATGTATTCTTTTATTGAATTCCTGTGCTTTGTTTAAACTGAATATGGCAGTGGTGTTTAGCGTTTTTCTCGGTTTACTTGGCAGCTTTAAAACCGGTCTCATCTGGTCTGCTTTGATCTTGAGACATTCGAACGCTGTTCAAGACATTGCAAACGTGTGTGATTTATGAAACCTCTTAGCATATGCGATAGAGAGAAGGCTTGTAATTGGCTGAGATGTTTTACCTGCTCTGCTGGTTGCTAAAATTGCATGTGCCAACAAATGTAACTTAGAGCTTTGTTAAATGGGAAGTTTCTTCTTTTTATTAATTATTCCCGTAAACCTTAACAAGAAGAAAAGTGAGTGCACTGGACAGTTAGAGCTCGTTATCGCCTCTTTTCTTAGACCACTGAAAAAATGCGAGGGGCGTGAGGGTTGACAGAGGAGTAATTTTATCGTTGTAATGAAGAGTGTATCTGCAATTAGCCTTTTGTCCTCTGCAGCTGAAGTTCAGGCTCTCGGATCCAAACATGCGTGACTCCCTCATCCCAGTTAGCCTGACTGAGGAGCCTGTCGTCTAAATGTCTGTGCTGGTTAAAGATCCCCCACTGAACATTTAAGCTGTGGTCACACAATGCTCTTAAATGCAGATTGTGGTGCATTGCATGGCTGCTATCTGGCTTATTTGCTCTCCAGTAGAAACTTTTCATCTCTTTTGATGCTGTGGCCCCCTAATTGTGAGGGACCCTCTGGCATTTCCAGCCCTAAAGCTGTTGTTCAACCATCAAAATGTATTTATTATAATGGAAATAAATCTGACCCTGAAGAAACTGGCTGAGGAGATGCTTGGACAGTTTTGGAGAGCACATTATGCCATTGTTTTAGGCGTTATTACCACTGGCACAATAGCTTAGTGTATATAAGCGGTTTGTGGGTTTATTTTAACAGCATGATGAGTTTGATTTGATATTCTCTGTAATGTAGTTGAAGCTTGTTGGGAGAAAACCATTTGGGAGATGCAAGAACCAGCAAGAAAAGGGCAACAGCGCCCCCCTGTGACCCAAACACTGTTCTCATGCAGCAGAAAACTATTTTATATTGAATGATTTGTTTGTTTTATGGATTAAAATATTGTTTTTTGGATTATACATTTAGCAGATGCTTCTATCCAAAGTGGCTTTGCTTGTACCAGTTGAGCTACAGGAATTACAATTGATCTGACTACTTTGAATATTAGAATGATTATGCATTTTTTTTGTCTTTTAAAATGTACAATAGATATAGAATGTCTAGAAAACACACTATAACAATCTAATGTGATGCAATCCGGGTATACGTGACTGTTTTCCTCCTTATTATGAATTTTTAAGAAGACCTAAAATGACAGTACTTCTCAGACATTTTACTTGGAAAGAACACGCAGACTGCAACTGACCTCAAAAAGTTCAAGGCTGACTTTTCATGTGCACTTCCCCGCTGGTTTCCCAGTGGCCCGACCCGCTCTCTTTGGTGTTTGACGATAGCTTCAGAAAGATGCTGAGTGCTTCTCTTCAGTCTGTGCTGAACTCAGCTGGCTATAAGTGAAAGATGTGATTTATATGCCTCACTGCTCACTTTCTGAATCTGAGCTGTCCTAAAAAAAAGTGTGTATGCAAGAAATGGATTGAGGGGCGCCGTCAGACATTTACTCCTGTGTATCGGCGTTTACCGCAGAGAACAACCCACATGCCATTCCAAACCTAGATCACTTTCTTCTGTGGAATACAAATAGAAATGTAAATGATGAAAGTAAATGCTGACCATACATATTTCAAGACTGAAGCCGGATGAAAGCTTTGTGTAAGGAACAGACTAAAATATGTTGATTCACTCTTGTTATCAAATTTTGAGATGTATGCTACTTTTATGGTACTTTTATGCTTTATCGTGGCTTTTTTGAGATTTTAGGAGACCTTAGTAGTACTCATTCACTTTCAGTGTACGTACTGCATGTCAAAGTGATTTTCTCAGGATACTCATGTCAGTTATATCAGTCAGATTGGCCTATACCATTATTAATTTAGCAAATGCTTCTATCAAAAGTGTCTCTACTTTTCTAGCACAACTTGAGCCACAATAATTAGCCATTTTTTTCATTACTATTTTAAATGTTAGAATTAGGCAAATGTTTTTGTGTATGTGATGTACAATAGATGTGCAGTTTATTGAAAGCATGCTTGCACAATCAAATGTGATGCAATCCAGGTATTAGTTGCTATTTCCTCCTTTTTGCTTGACTTTCATTGGGACATTTATTTGTCTGGTATTCATTTTTATTATGCCAGGTTCAGTAAGTAATTCGTTGGACTGATTCAGACTTACAAATCTTTTTGGCCGATTCTTTGCAAGAACCAGCTCTTAAAAGGTTCTTAATTTTCTCTTAATTCAATCAAAAATGTCAAAATTGTCATTTCTGCGTAATCAGCTCCAAAGAAGATATTTTGAAAAACTTTGACTTTCATTGTATGACCAAAAAGAAAGGGAGAGAACATGATGACAGATTTATTTGTTTTCAGATGAACTATCTGTTTAAGTGTGCATGCAGTCACCGAAGAAAGGTGAAGTCGAAAAATACTGTATTATTTATTGAATTTGGATTCGTTTTTCTCTGCAACACCCTCAGATACCCTGCAAACTCAGTAAAATATACATATTCTGCTGTGCCACTAGAATCAGCACTGATGCAGCATCGCTGAGTGAACACAAGGAGGCTGTCAGGGTTAAAGAAACGTGCTGCGAGGAGATGTACGGGTTCGGCTGGCCACTGTTTTTTATTGGGCTGCTGTTTTATTTTTCCTCTATAAAGCGTCCTGCTTTTGCTCTGCAGGTTTTTCTAGTAATGCAAACAGTCATTTAAGGACCTCGAAGGATGGAAGCTCCTTCCTTTTAGCGTTTCTGCTTGGAAATATGACTGGCTATTATTGTGAGATTATCACCCTTCTTTCTTTTCCTTTCCTCATTTTGCATCTCCATTCTGATTCCAGGTCATTCCTCCCTCTGCTCGGCCAGGCCTTTGGATCGAGGGACTGTTATTTTTCCTCTTCGTCTTTTACGAGGGACTTTTACAGCTGAGGTCGTATTGTTCTCGTGCTCGCGACACGTCACCTGATGCGTTTAGCACAACCGTTAGGTCATGTATTTTGCGACGTTCACCTGCAGGTGAAAGTTTTCAGACTCTCCGTAACTTGGAAAGTTGATGACGTGAAGGGATTGAAACTAAATCTGCATTAGCTGGAGATTGCATCTAAATGCTACTGGCAGTGTGTGAGTAGATAATGTGTCTGTGAAGTGGTGTGGAATATCGCTTTACACAAAGGTAGAAACTTGTGGCTGTGGTTTATTTGAAAGTGCATCATGTTATACTGGAATTTGGTATTAAAATCTGCATTTTTGTTTTCTTGTCTATGCAGGCTAGGTGATCAAGCAGGAGTGCTGCTCTGACAGCAAGTGGAAACCCAGGTGTGTATCTTCTGATTTCCTCTATTTCTAGTTTAGTATAATAATTTTGGCAAATGTTGGTTCTTGACCAAAGCGACTATGTGCTGCTCTTCAGTGGAGTTTAGGCAGTGTGTGTTGTGACTGTTCATGCGCTGATGCACAGATTCAGTCTGCTTGGCAATTACTGAATTGTATGTTATATGCAATCATTCTGTAATCTGTCTATGATTTTGAAATAAGTCACTTGAGAGTGACCATGTCAGCATGAGATCAGAAATACAGTAAATAAACAGTAGCATTGTGAAATATTATTACAATGTAAAAACTCTTTTTCTATTGTAATATATTTTCAAATGTAATTAAATCTGTGAGACAAAGCTAAATTTTCAGCATCATTACTCCAGTTTTCAGTGTCACATGATCCTTCAAAAAACCTTATTATATGCTAATTTGGTGCTCAATTAACATTTCTTATCAGTGTGGAAAACGGCTGTGATGCTTAATATTTTTGTGACATTTTTTGATGTACAAAGTTCAAAAGAAAACCATTTATTTGAAATAGAAATCTTTTGTAGCATTATAAATGACTTTACTGACACTTTTGGCTAATTTAATGCATTTTTTTGTTTACAGTAGTGTAAGTGTAGGTAAAGTTGTTGTATTATTTGATAGTATAGAATATTGAAATGCCTTTGGGTTTTTTTTTTAACTGATGGGGTGTCTAGTGTGTTGCCAAGATCAAACGTTTCACTGAAGTAAATGCTTGCTTGTATTCACACTCAGTCTTTGAGGTAATGCTGTAGTTCCACCTAATTCCCGTTAGAGGGTGCAGGAGATCTCCTTTACACCTAGTGACACCTTCATTCACACATTCTGCTTCTGTGTTCAGTTGTGGCAACCTGCTAATTTACTGGATACATTATACCAGTCTACAGAGCAGCCACCATCTTGCTTTTTATGCACAGAATCTAAACTAAAACATTTGCTGGCGCTTTTTATGGGGGGAAAAGGGTGCTTGCAAGTTAGCGTCGAATGAACCATTTTATTTGTACTGCATATGAGGTTTTGCAACCATTACCAACATTTTGCATCAAAATGTCTAAATATACATTTTTGCTGGGGGGTCTGAGTGATGCTGAAGGACATCAGTAAAGATGTTAAGCTGTAATTTTCTAGGCTCTTGAGAATAGTTGAGGATCTCTGGTCTGGGCTGTTTATAGATGTAGTCTGAAATATCATTGGATGTGTTAGTCTACTAAAATCTTGATTATTTATTTATTTTGAATAGTTGTGTCTGAATGTGTGTGGTTCATTGGGTGTTTTCTGTGTAGTAATATTACTGGATTAGATGTAGTGGTTTACTTTGGCCTCATGATGGCGTTAGAGTAACTTCCAGATCAGAAACTAAACATGAGCTGATGTGGAGCAAGTGAGCAGATCTAGACCGCTTATTGATTAAAGATTTCTTTAATTGCACTGAACAGCTGTCGCATTTAATATTCTAGTGATCATGGCTGGTTTAAAGCTGAACTTCTATTTGGCCAGTGGCTTTGGAAATGTTGGATATTTTATTCCATTTTCACAGATTCCCTGTTGCCCAAGATCAAAAATCAGCTCTGAGATTCTTCAGAAGTTGCAGGGATGTGTGTGTTTTGTATAAAGTATTAGACGTATGGGGGAGAAGCTTAAACGCGGCTGAAAGTGAGTGTGAGATTATAATAAGTCTGTGATGTTTTCTTTTACCATCTTACAAATATATAAAAAACGAGAACACATCCTGTGTGAACAACACTTTAGACTATAATTACTACATATTTAGAAACTTTACCACCATATTTCCAGCTTGCTGTGATTTTAAGAGAAAAAATAGGCTTTCTAAATAGCCCAAAATATTTTAGTTAAAGTTTATTTTAGTTTAAAGTTGCACTTTGTAACTTTTGGCCTTCTTGCAGTTAAAACATAACACCATGCATTTCGTGTAAGAATATTGTTTTGGTTGTGCTTTATCTCTGTGTGATTGTGTGGATAAATATGACACTTCACAATAGATAATGCTTTACAATGAACTAAAATTAGTACTAAAAACGCCATCTCTGCCTCACCGTTTAACATTTTAAATCCCTCAGTTCTCGGCATCTCCGAAAAGCCAAGCCGATGTTGATTCTTGTTTTATTACGAGCTCTGTCGCGTTCTCTTTTTGCCAGCAGACTCTCCTCTGTTCAGCGTGTTTTTAAAACGAGTGATTCTCCGGTGGTTCAAAATTTGCCGTGTTTTGTCAACCTTTTTCTCTCGTTGTAACAACTAACCTATGCCACTCCCACACCATACATGCGTCAACGTTTTTATTCGTTTTTAATTCCATGGCAGAGCATATTGCAGCAGAACATGGACTGAAATACGAAATAAAAGCAGTTTCATCATATATAACCTAGTAGAAGTCTTAGTGAATGGATGTCAGGGGAAAACCATGTTTTTTTTTAACTGAACCCATGCTTTTGATTGGCTGAGGGTTTGTTGATGTCTTTACCTGGACTGGCGAGAGCAGATTTCTCTTGCCTCAGGTAAAATAGCAGGATACGTGAACGAGAAGGGAAGTGAGAAAACAAATCTCCAGCCGTCTCTGTTTACTCAGTCTAACCTTGTAAAGCTCTACTAGTGTCCTCTCCTCCGAGCTCCCTGCTTCTCTCTCTCCTCTCACCAAGTACCAAAAGGAGAGGAGGGGGAGGAGAGCACGCGTGTGTTTGTGTGTGTGTGTGTGGTAGAGCTGAAAGTGTGGAGCGAGGGAAGGGGGCTGGCGGCGCACACCTTCACTGAGTGGCTCAGAAACACAGAACAGGACAGTGCAGTCAGGTATCTTCCCGTCTCCGTCTCGAGCGTCAGGGTCAAGCGGCCATGGCCCTGTTTGTGGACTCTGCGCACTGCATGGGGGCCTACTACTGCCTCATCAGGACCCGGTTCAAGCGGAGACGCAAGAAGCGGTCCGAGCGGAAAGGTGAGAGCGCTTTCTTTAACAGGCCTGACGGAGATCCGAGAACGGGGTTTTCCACTTCGAAAACTTGATCGTACGCAGTGCTTTCTTCAGTGCGTGTGATTTGCATTTCTAGACAGACATACAGTAGCCTAGTTGAGACGAAATACTTTAGGGAAGTTGACGTGTACTGCTGTCTTACATTGTAAATAATGTTTTTCCGAAGATTATTGGAGTATGTTTTATAAGAAAACACTTTCAGTTTTCTACTTCCAAATTTCTTTGTAATTATTTGGGAAGTTTACTTGGCAGTTTCTGAGTAAAAATCGACTCAACACCAAATTTAGTGAACTATTTTATTAATGAATGTAATTCTTCTGTAATTTGTATCCATCATGACCTCATATTAATTGAGTGAGTACATGTTGTTAGCTTTTTTATTTGTCACACTGCAGGATCATTTGAAATGAACTAGTGAATGTGAAAAGGCACTTTTTATTGTTCTGTCTGGTCAAATCTAAAGCTCGTATCACAGTTTTATGATATTCTGGAGACTCTGTACTGTACCTTTGCTAAAAATGATGGAAATTGAGTAAATAAGCTCAGAAATTTCAATCACAAGAATTTAGAAATATCAGGCTGTGTCTGCAGGTTCTTTCCAATAATCTTATATTTATAATCAAGTCTTAAATATTGTTTTTGCAAGTCTCTAAAGTTGGTTCAGCAGTTTGTTTTTAAAATCTGCTTGGATATTAATTTTCCATGAACTAAATTAGTGTAGCACTAAAGTGGAAATCATGCTTGTTTTTTTAATCCATTTTAGTTCATGTAGTATATGTAGTTCATGTACTCCATTTTAGCTCCATTTAGGTCATACATTAACATATGTATGTCTTTAATGTATTTTTGTTTATATTTTTGTTAGTTATGAATATTTATGTAGTCAAAATTTCAGTTCATCTGAGAAGTTTTTTTTTTTAGCCAACTAAAAATAATTATAAACATGATGAGGATCTTTAAGTCCTTAAATCTTTTTTTTTCTTTTTTTTTTTTTTCTTGAAAGTCCTAAAAGGTCTTACATTTCATTTCCCCTTGAACATGCAGATACCCTGAAGATTATGATATATTTAATATATAGGCTAGGCTCACATATTATTGCATTGGGATACAAAATTAATAAAGACAGCATTTTCTGTAGTGGTTTGTATGTGTTTTGGAGATTTATGAATGATTTACATTTCTGTGGTTAGTTTAGGTGGAAGGATGAGATGCTGTTCTCACTGAAATTGTTGTAGTCTGCCGTGGAATGAGCAACTTGTGTGTCTAATGGGTCACCATGGTGATGAGCCACAAACAGAAAAAACTAAGATCGCTTGCATGCATGCCGAACTTTGAATTCTATTGAATTAATAAACTTCAGAAACTATATATATATATATATATATAATATAAAATTACAAAATATATTTTTTATGGAAAATTCTGCAGTGATCGTCCCTGCTATCTGACTGATATTTTGAGATCCTGAGGTGTCACACTTCTCTGTCAAGAACAATAATGAAGGCACTCTCTCCCTGTCAGTCATGTCATATGAGGGTGGTATTTTAGAGAGTTGTGATCTAAGTAGGGCAACATTGCTTTCAGCAACTGGAACTTTTAACTTGCTTAACTCCTTTCTTTTTTTTCTTTTTTTTCTTTTTTTTTATGTAATTTTATGGGTCCTTTTGAAATATTAACTTATAATTTCGTTTTGGTAGGTGTGAAATCTTATTTAAAATGGGAGCATTATTTTAAAGGCTTTTTTTTTCTTTTACACAGTCATCGGATTTTATAGGAAGAAGTAAAGTGTGTGTATATAAACGTTAAAGTTAATTAGCTGCTTTCTGCGGTAGGTAATGGAATCAGAGTTTGTGAATGTCAGTTTGAGATCTACTTTTCAGCTTCTTTGTCCCAAATCTGCCTTGAGGACTTTTTGGGAAGTTTTTATCTTTTTTAGTTAATGTGTGTAATTATTCTGTCCTATTTAAGAATGTCACAGTACTTGGTTTAAGTG